AAGCTGTCTTTGTGTGTGGCCGGCATCCAAAGCCGCGAATGAGCTGACGCGATCGGAAGTGTTACGTCTGGAAAGGACCTACAACTTCATATCCAAAGACAAGAAGCTCACGAGCCCACTCTGCACCAAAGTCATGTGCCATGAGCTGGTGCATCATGCCTGCGGGGGCCCTTGTGTGTGTGTGTGTGGCAAGGCACGACCTTTTCGACGTCACTGGCTTCGCGCATATTATACCGGCGCAGGTTCGGTCCATTGCATCTAACAAGATTTGAATGATGTTATGCCGGTATGCCATCACGGGCCGGATGAAACATGTCTTGGAGCCAGGTATGTTTCCCTCGCGTGTACTATGCAGGGATCGCGAGCCACATCTCGGCCGAATTGGGTTTGAAAGAGAATGATCTCGTGGTCCTGAAGCTTTGCAATCGATCTCGAGCCGCAGGCCTCGATGAAAGCATGCTGTAAGCTTTCATGCAGGTCTCCTTTCCTCTCGGTGCCAGGAGTTTTGATCACGCATGTTGTTGAGCTGGACGATGTGCTGCAGGAGCACTCGGCCTCGGTTGCATCAGACATTTTCTGGCTTGAGTGGTAGCCCTACGGCTGACAGGGGTCTCTCAGGGGTGCCATGCAGGCCTCGTGTGTCCACTTCCTACACTCCGCCTTTAGAACTGAGTGGCAGCGGGAAAGCTTGCACAGAACCTGCCAATACTACTACTACTACTACTACTACTACTACTACTACTACTACTACTACTACTACTACTACTACTACTACTACTACTACTACTACTACTACTAGTACAAAAAATAATGATAATATTAATAATAATGCAAATGCGTGTCGTAACTCGTCGGAACGAGCTGGGAGCTGGGCGAAGACTGCGACGGCGACAGCACAAGGAGCAAGCAGCAAGCGGTTTCGAACGATGCAGAAAGCCTCATAGCGGCCCCGGTTTTTTCGAGCTTCAAGTCCGAACGTGACCGTTAGAAGGCACGAAGCTTGACAAGCGGTCCGATACAAGCAACATTGAGAGGACATTGAAAGGGACCGACAAGAAGCCTAAAGTGGCTTCCGTGGCATTCTTCGTGTGGTCATTTCGAGTGCTTTGCTTTCGAAGCAGGACATCCTGGAGCCGCCTCAAGACCTTGAGGCTTGGTTCCGGCCACGCTTGCAGCACCTGGTGCATGCGGCTGGCGACCTCGTGGACAAAGACTCCTACGAGGAGCACGTGAGGCACTGGTGGGCAAATGAAAGCCCCAGCTTTGTGGCCGCAGCCTGGCACAAGATGATGGAGGGGAGGGTCACTGCAAGCCTCCAGAAGCGACCCGGAAACCGAACCCGAAGCCAAGGAGCGCTGTTGCTTTTCCATGCCAACAATGAGTGCTGGCCGGGCGTTTGATGGGACGATGCGGGTTGGCTTTGCGCTCCATCGCAGGCCCCCACCCCTGTGCGAGCTTCTTTTCATTGCGCTTCCGACCTTCCCACGGTGAGGACAGGAGCTTCGGAGACACTCACTCCGGAAGATATTCAAGTTGATTGGCTCGGCGGCTATTGGAAGCTACCCCAGGCAGACATGAAGCACGGTTGCACAGAGCCCTACGAGTGTTCCAGCCTTTCAAGCGCTCACTCCGACGCACTCAGGACCTCGGATCATGTAAGGGCGCGGCTGATCAGCCAAGCTAAAACAGGCACGGCCGTTGTGAAGCGCTACATCCTGACGGAGGCGGAGCTGCGAGCAAAAATCAGTGGGTCCTGCGACGCATTCCAAAAGCTTGCTACAGTTAGCAAGTTTGCCAAAAAGTGGCTGTCGCTGTCTTTTCCAGGTGTACGCCGCCCTCGGCCCCGCCCTGCAGCAACTCTTCGGGGCCGCAGAGTTCACACCTGAGCGGCTGCAGGAGCAGTACAAGAGCCAACCGGATCCTCTGCTCGTGGAGGGGTCCCCGTGGTTCCCAGTGTGGGTTCGGAGCCGTAGGTTGCCGCGGTGTAGGGCTCGGCATGGGAAACATCTCAGGAACTCGCCGCATACCTCATTGCGAGACGCGCCATGACGATGAGCACATCGGAGCAGCGCTCGCGTGACTTGCGTGTCTTCTTGGCATTGCGGTGGGCTCATAAGTGGAAGTCAGACGCAAACGGATGCTGAGGTGATGTCGAAGCATCTCTGAGAAGGTTTACCTCGAGCCCGGCGAAGTCTTGCGTCGCGTCCTTTGTGCATCGTGCGAACGGCGTGCTGCTGGCTCGCGGATCTGCACCGGATCGTTGGAAAGATGCGCAGCATGGTTTCAAGCGACGATTATCGGCTGCTTCTTTGATTTGAAGGAGCCTTTTGAAGTCAGCATGGCCGAAAGTCGATCTGAGGCAGGAACACTTCGTGAAGGCTCTGGAATCTTTTCCGTCAAACTCCAATGCCCTCTTCCTCCTCGGCATGGGAGCACTGGAAATGGGTTTCTTGGAGACTGCAGTGGAACTGATGAACAAGAGCCTTCTTCTGGATCCGGATTTTCGTGCACCGTATGTGCTACTTGGCTCGGACTGATAGGTATGCCGGCTCTTCAGCACGGAACTCTTGTCAACACAGGAACTCGCACAGGATCCAGAACCTGCACTCGTCCACAATAGGGGGCTTCAACAATTCGAATAGGGTTTGGGGGTCCAGTCTACTATAATTATATATAATCATCATATATGAGGAGCCCCCCCCCAAAAAAAAATACCCCGTCCAACCCCAAAACCCCTAAACCCTATAGATGCCCCATTTAGTCATAAGAAGGAACCCCCCAAAAAAACCCCTCTTGCCTCCGCCTTCAGGAATTTGGGAGTGGCCTACTTGCGGCAAGCCGCGCAGAGCTCCGAGAACTCGCAGCGCCTGCAGGACTGGACGGGAAGACCCTTAATAAGGACCCCTAGGTATATACCCTTAATATAGCTATCATATACCCATTACATAGCCCATTATAGCGGATTGGAGCTTCTCATACATGGTCACGCGCTCCGCGGCCCCCTCCCCTCCCCCCCCCAAAGGTCAATGGTCCGGAAAAAGGGTGGGACCCCCCCTGCCCTGTGGTATGGTTTGTGGGGTCCCTCTTCCCCCCGTGGGGTGGTTGTGGGGTTTTGGGGTTTAGGGTTTACCTTACGCTTTTGGGTGTTGGGTTTACGGTCACAAGGTATAGCGCTTCGAGTCGACAAGGGCTTAGGGAGGATTTGCGGTGTATGTTCTGCTTTAGGCTTAGAGCCCGCAGTTAGGTGGGGTTTAGGGTTGGGTGTAGGGTTTGAAGTACAAGTTAAGGTTATTCAAAACAGGGGCACGCTCTGCGTTATAGGGTTTACGGCTTGCTTGCGAAGGCCTTGCGTGCGAGCCCTGGTCGCCAGCACCATCCGACCATCCAGTGGCAGCTCCAACAGCCCCGACCCCTTTCCGCACACGTCAGCCCCCCCACCCCTAGCAGACCATACCATTGTGGGGGGGGGGAGGCTGGGAACGCCAGACGCCTGACCATATATACTAGTTTGCGGGGTTCCTTTGCGGGGTTCCTTATTGTAATTATAGTGGAATACACGGGTTCCTGATTATACTTATAGTATATTATACCCCCAAGCCCTGTTCGAATTATTAAGGCCATCCCCTATATGAAAGTTTCGGACCTGTGCCGAGTTAGCCCGCACCTGAAGCTTGGCTCACGCAAGCTTAGAGCAGTGCTTTTGAGCGCAAATTCGCGGGACTGGGGCTTTCGCTTCATACTTAGAGTATCAGCGATTACTATGAGATTTTGGGGTACGCTATAGTATAGCTAAAAGGGGATACTGTTCAGTTGCAGGATCTCTACTTCCGGGTCATCGAGGTGTCGGAGTCCTGCCTTGCGCGCCACCCTGCGTCGCCTCAATGCCACTACCACATCGGTGCCGCGATCCTGTTATAGAATGATCATAATATTGCTGTTTTCTACGCCCTCTGCGCTTATGGCCGTGTTGAGACATGAACAACTTCTCTGGAAGCGTGAAGCTCTGGGAAGTTCGTGCAGTTGATTTTGTGAGGTGTTGCGTCCACCCAGCTCGCACTGATGCTGCAAGCACACGCTGCTCACGCCACCAACGGCGACAGCCTTGACAGCCTCCGCTTCAGGGAGTACCGAAGCCGGGCACGGGCTGAGCTCGAAGAAGCGAGGTGGGCCTGAGCCGCCGAAGCGTCCCGTCCCGTGCTGTGTGCTCTGCAGGAGAAGTCCAGAGGCGCATCGGCGGCTCAGCGAGCCCTGGCTTCTTCTCATCAGGGCCCCAATAGGGCCCAGCAGGGCCCACCTCGTTGCTCCTTTTCGTGCCAAGGAGTGGCAGGAGGCGCAAGCCAAGGGAAAGCCGAAGAAGCAGCAGGCACCATGGCTGGCCGTGGACGACAAGATGCTCCAAGCGATGGAGGTCGACATGACTCTCGGCTCTCGGTTCAAGCGCACCTTTCTCCATCTTCCGGTCTATGCACTTTAATGGCATCCCCCATGTTTCTTAAGGATGCGTGGGCAGACTTTAAAGCCCATCAAACTTCCGGACTTCATCGGGTGGCGTTTGCCATTCTGGCGCGTATAGTGCCGCCGTGGACTGATGCACATTGAGTGATGGACGCAGAATTCCGCTGTGCTGCGAGGGCAATCTAGAGAGCACCTGAAAACTCTTTCAATTCTTTCGTGTAAATGAACCCGGGCCCCAGGAATTGAAGGTTGATTGTGAACAGCTACACACCGCAGAGCATTCAGCACATTCGCCTTCTGGGAGCCCATCTTTGGCTGAGTGTAGCCACGTTCCAGATTAGTTTTAGAGCGTTAGCGTCGCCTATTTTCCGAGGTCTTTCATGGATCCTGAAATTCGGGAAACATGCAGTGCAAACTTGCAGGAGGACTTCGACAAAATTCTTGCTTGTGGAGCGCTCGACACTCGACTATGCTCGACTAACAATGTCAAGACTGTGTACTGTGTACTCTGCCGCAGCCAATGGCCCCGTTTAGCCGTTCCTGCAATGAAGACGATTGGTCGGACTTGCTGTCTGCTGGACGCTTGCCAGCAGATGCAGTCGCAGGTGCCCAAGCCAACAACAGCAAAGTCCTGGCCATAGTCGTCCGAGGTGGTAGTGTCCGAAGCAGCAGCATATGGCCTTGGCCTCACCTTCCTTTGTATCTTTCCGAGTGCACACGCCTTCCGGTGACGGACATGAACTGATGGTTGCTGCGTGATGCAAACTTGCAAGCTAAGGCAGAAGTTTGAGAGCACCGGCACTGGTGGCAGTCCGAACTGCAGAACTCCACAAAGTGTGCGAAGCATGCGGTTTCTTGGCTGTCGCTGTCGTGTCATACCTTTGCAGCAGTTCTTGCAGAAGACTGTGGAAGTCCGCTGTGGCTGTAACAAAGGCGATGCAGGCTTGAACACACTCCAGAAATCATCGGAGTACTGCGATGAGATGCACGATCAATGTACTTCCAGCCTGTTTTGTTGCAAGAGGTGCATGAGACTGAGAGCTTTGTGCTCCGAGAAGTTCTTGCCAGGCACATGTTGCCTGAAGGCAGTAAAGGCGAAGTATAGCGAGCCACTCAACCGCAAGCAGTAGCTCGATACCTGCGTTTGTGCAGCATCGTGGTGCAGACAAAACGCCACCTCGGAGGATTTGCTCGAAGTACATGGGCTTCGGTGGCTGTATCGACGGCATCAAGGCTAGGTTCGCAGAAACTGATGGCAAATTCCGTCGGAGATTGGTAGTTTGCTTGAATTGAAGGCTGCTATCGAGGATAAGGACAAGGAGTGCAAAGAGAAACAAAAGATTGCATCTTGATCGAGACTGCGGAGTTGTCACAGCGACCTGGGTTCGTGTTCGTGGCTTTGGCCGTGCTGGCCCAGGCTGAGGCTTTGAAAGACCAGCAGAAGCAGAAGATCGAGGATGCAGTGGGCTCCGATATTTTCGATCTCCACAGTGCGAAGGCCTGAAATGGCCTTCGATGTAGCTTTTCTGGTCGTTTGTTTGCGACAAGATTGCGATTAAGAGCTCAAGAAGGGCTCTGTCTCCAAAGGATCAGGGGAAGATCGTGGACACGCCGTACAAGGACGAGCGCCGCGGACTGCACTCAGCTCTGTGCCCCTTTTTCCGGGTCTTTGCTCAGATCTCAGGTGCGCTGCCTACAACTCGCCGAACTGCAAGGACCAGGAAGCGCTCTGCGGCTTTGACTCTGGTTGCGACCGGGAGCTCTGGAAATGGACCTCTGAGACCCAGCTGCAACTAGCTACAAAGAGTTTCGCGAGTCCGTGCAGCAGCTGGATGGGCGCGGGGCCGAGGAGCTACAGCGCGTGCGGGGCTTGGATGCGTCCAGAGTGCCTCTGTTGCTCGATGCACTGGCTAAGTGACCGCTGGTGGCAGGTTGAAGACTGGCAAGGCATGCTGGAGAACATACCCTGTTTCTGACCGCACTCCCAGCCTTCAAACATTTCACTAGGGTGCCACGGATCTGGGAGCCCAGCATTGCACCCGGCCAAACGAAGTCGTCCAATTCGAAAACTTGACTGGGGTGCAGCCTGCGAGCCATCCTAAAGTCCCAAAAGGCCCTTGGATCGCTTTCACCCAGCGAGTACAAGGAAAGCAAGGAAGGCAGTTCCAGGAAGGCACGTATCGTTGAACCCTAGCAGTTGCAAACCCTGCCAACCTCCTAGGAAAGCCCGGCAGTGGGATTGAACCCGAGTGCTGCCATCCCACAGGCTTTCTGGATGCAAAATTCGGCTGCAGGCTTTTGCAAGCAGCTCGGAAAAGAAAGAGTGTCGGCCCTGGACGTGCCTGGCCTGGCCACGTCACGCCACGTCTATCATCTTGCTGAGGCTAAGGGCTCGCAGGGAAATGAAGCAATAAGTACCACCTCAACTGCCCTGGAAGCTTTGCATCTCTCTTGGCACCGTCTCCATGAACATATGACTAGTGATTGCTGGAACGACACTTTCATGTTGAATTCTCAAAGCTCTGCTCCCAATGTTCATCGCATGTATCGAAGCATTCGCAGGGACAGCTCCGCAAAGGCTTCGCAGTCCTCCTGCCGTGGCCTTGTGCAGATGGGCGCGTCCCGGCGGTCGACTCCATCGCTGCGCTATGCTTGGCTACTTCTTCGCATATACCGGCTGTAGTGATACTGACGGTGACACTTCCGTGGTACAGGATCAGAGGCCCTGCCAGCCAAGGACACCACTAGAGCCAACCTGGCCAGCCATGCTTCCTCGTGGCCATGGCAGCCTGGCAGAAAGCGCGAGCGACTCCGATCCGATGCTCAGCGCTTTTCACCGAGGATGCCTCCGTCCCACCTCCGCCGGCGGTTCCAGAGGAAGGGCTCTGCTGCAAGGGTGTCCAAAAAGCCTCCTGCAGTGGATGACATGGCGATGGACTCCGCGGTTGCAGAGCGTAGGGGCAACGCTCATGATGAAGTCGTTTTGTCACGTGCTTCAGAACGCAGGCATGGCTGCCCAACAAGCTTCGAAAGCGACAAGGCTGCCTGCATCGGGACTATTTTCCGCAGAAAGATGGCTCATTACTTGTCGGTCGTGGAGGGTGCTTCGCAAATTGTCGGCCCAGCAGCCTGGTCAGGCCTCTTGGATCACACGGACGTGTGCCGCGCTCTGCAAAGCGAGCGCTGGATGATCTGAAGACGAAAGCCTGCTGTGTGGCAAGGCCTGCCCGGCAGAAGGTGCCTTTCATCCACTGGGGCTACAGGCCACCTCCTGCAGGCACGGCCGAGACAAGGCCCCGCCGGTTCCTAATTGCGACCCGTCTTCTGCCAGGGCCCTGGGACCTTATCCGAAGCATTTTTCGGATCCACAACGAGACAGGCAGCTGGGCGGCAGTCCCAAAGACGGCAGCCGAAGACGTGGCAGCGGCTGCCAGCGAAGCTAGGGCTGTAGTGAGAACATCTGCTGCTGAGGTAACATCTGGTCTCACTTGATTGGTGCTGGCTACTTCGTGCGAGCCTGATGAACAGCAGAAAGCCCTGTAAAAAGCCGGTTGTGCAAGTCTGCAACCGCGGTGCGCCACCGTGGACCGTGGCCTACCTGGAAGGCTTGGGTTGGGGTCGATGCAGCCCTGGGCTTCTCGAGAGCGACGAGCTTTGAGCAGCAGGTGGGCCCCTGGTGTAGTTATCATTGATCAGTATTGTTATACATTGTTCTTATTGTTGTTATTATCCCTGTTATTAGCTTCTCATGTGGCGCACGGAGTGCTTCGAATCGTCTCTGCCAATATGTCTGGCTTATCTCAGAAGCCCGAACACATGCAGGTCTACTGTAGACATCGGTAAGTCAAATCTTTTGTTGACACCAAGCCGCTGAACACGAACTCACACTTAGGCAGACTGGCAGTTGTGAGTCCTGAGAGCACGAGTGCGTCCCAGCAGTTTTGCTACCAGCCATGGCTGGTGGGGCGTTTTCGATGCAGCGCCTTGTCTTGAAGCGCACTGAAGCCTTCAAGTTTGAGTGTTTAGAGCGAAGCAGACTGAAGATTTAGGGTCAAGGAATTCAGGTCTGCGGATTTTCGTGGGAATTGGGGAGAGAAACCAGGCTTTGTGATCCAGCACCGAGGAAGCTCTGCAACCCTTCACCCTCAAAGCCTCGTGACTCACATTCTGCAGCCGCACATCCTACATCCTATAGCCGGGGACTCCTTCAACAACCTTCAACAAAGCCTGAAATCAATCTGCTAGCTTGAAGCACATAAGGTTGTAAATGTTACACCAACAGCAAGTGTGTCCGTCTGCCCTCGCAAAAAATATCAATCAAGTCGGGTGCTCAAGCGCACATCCCCGTGAGGAAAGTTCTGCATGGCAGAGCCATGAATATGATACTTCCGTGCGTTCTGATTCTCTTAGCGATGGCGCTCTTGATCTGGTGCCATGCTACTGCGCAGCTTGGCAGAACGATGCCGACTTTGTTTGCCTCTACAACCGCACCATGCGTTGTCGTCATTTAGGAAAGATCCAAACGATGGCTCTTCCACGGTATTTCTGGGCTTGATAGCTCCTTGGCATGGGATCTTCAGGAGTACAGCCAGCAAGCCTCCATCCCCGGAATGTGTTTGTGGCGACGCAGCGCAGGTTATACAGATGCTTCCCTTGCTCTTCCTCGAGTTGAGAATAGCGTGCTGCACTTAGCAAAAAAGAGCACTTGCCCAGAAAAATTCCGGCCCATCCCGCACAGCTCAGGTCGTGTCCAGATCCGGAAGCGATGCTGGCGATGTTTGGCACCAAGGCCATATCGCATAACTGGCACGCAGAACTGGCACGCATGCATAGGTTCATGGAAGTATCCTGTCATGTTCTACGTGTAATCCTTGAGGGTTCACGGTTGAACTGTGGGGTCTGAAGGTACTCCTCCTGCACGGATGCTTCATGACGCTTCGAGTCTGCGTGCCCCAGCTTGAGTTAGCGGCAAGACGCTGCAGGAAACCCTAAACCTTAAACCCTAGAGTGAAAAAAAAAAACCTAGCTTAGTATTCTGTGCACTCCGGTGTCTCAGGCCTGGCCCCTGATGGAGGTCGGGATCGGGTGGTCCAATCTCCTCGGCACGATTGCGGTGGTCGGAGTGCCGCGTGGCTGCAAGGTTTAGGGTTTAGGATTTATAGGGTGTAGGGTTGCTGCAGGAGCTGTCAAGGCCGCAACTTGTCACCGTGCCGTTCTGGTAGGCTGCATTCCGGCTTCCGCTTCAAGTGGAAAGTGGAATCTGTCACCGCCGCTTGTCTTGAGAGTGGGTCGTAATCCGATTGACCTTGAGCGCAGCTTTTACCCGAATCATCCAGAATCCACTGTCTGTTGTGACGTCGTGATCCAGGAGCACATGGATGTTCTGTGCCTCGTCGTCTTGGCGGGCATTGGAGCTCTTCTGACGGAGGTGTTCGAGTATGACACGCCACTAAACTTAATCATGCTCAAACGGCTTTGCCCATTTCTGTCTTTTGCTTTGTTTACCTTTGAGGCCATATCTTTTGCTTGAACACACGATATTTACGGCTTCGAGCTACATCGAAGTCGTTGGCTTTGTGCCCGCTGTGTGGATGCTTGGCGCGAGCTCAGCACCGCTACCCCAGTCTTTCTTTGCTACGTGACCCCACCTGAGAGATCTCAGGATGGTGCACCTATCTGCCAAGAAGAACGACGATGCAGCTCCGACTGACAGGGATTCAGAGTGTGCAGCATTAACCACGGATGCAGCATCGGATGAGGATGACCTGTCTGAGGTGACCCGGACGGGTGGTGTTGACCTGCAGCGGCAAGCAATCTTCTTCTTTGTGTCCAGCCCGCACCAGTACCAGAATGGGGCACACTTTGCGTGCTAACATGGCACGACAGCTGCATGACGCCGGCAGGTGTAATTAATCACTTGAGACTTTCCTCTCTCTCTCTCTCTCTCTCTCTCTCTGTGGTACCCGAAAAGGGACCGTAATTTTGACAACTACCCACATGACATGCAGGGAAGCTGTTAACTTCAATTGCTCCCTTCTCATGCATACAGATGCAGTTCTTAGATGCAAGGTGTGTAGCCTGGCTGAAGTTTCCATGAGGTTGTTGGCGGCAACCACAGTCATACCAGCTGCTGGTGTTCTGATTCTCTTGTTGTAAACTCATTGAGCTCATCACATTTGTTGAAGGTTGTCTTCACACATCAAACTCCCATGAGTCTAGCCAGCGGAACAGCCAAGTCAGTTTCAAGTTTTCAGAAGCGCAGACAGTTTCGACAAAAAACGGAGGCCAACCCGACAACCTGCCGGAAGTACAAAGTTCTGCGCCATGCAAGTTGTTCGTTTCTTTGCTTCTGTGTGTGTGTGTGTGTGCGTGTGTGCAGAGAGAGCTGTGTGAGAACTGATCGTGTCTTGAGTTGTGGTTGGTGTGTACACATGTCACACAGCCTCACAATGCTTGACTTGCTGAGGTATTCTTGGTAGGCGTCTTGCCTGCATCAAGCCTATCTCGCCGTAATTTCAAGCTGGAGCTCCGGACTTGTTTCTGCTGTGCGGCAGCAGACAGCCAAGCAAACGTTTCAGTAAATTAATGAAGTCAGCGCCAAGACGATAGCACACACTCACTGCCATCTGCATACATGTGGGCACACCGCCCATCACACGTCCACACCAGCCGCAGACCCGCATGAATGTAGTAACGTGCGCATGACACATCGCACGATGGCACCGAGGCTGGCTCTGGCTCGTCTCTCTCGCTCTCTGTCTCCGTCTTTCCTTCTCTGTACACACACACACAGACACACACGCAGACATCCCTCCCTCCCTCCCTCCCTCCACTGCTAGAGCAAAGAGGCCGGCAGACTGCATGTGACCACAGACTGTGATCATTAAAGATTCTTTGCACATGAGCCGTGGACACTGCACATTCATGCAGACTTCAAGACTGCTGGCTGATCTTGCTGGTCAGGCTTTTATGTCTTTGAGGATTTGGTCACAGCGTGGAAAATCAGCCATTTGTCAGGAGCTTCGCTCTGTTTGCGACATGAAGTATGCTTGCTGGCAGCCTCGTGTTGGACAGACCGGCCACTCTTCCCAGAGGACTTGCCGCTGCTGGCCACATCGTCCACTTCCTCATGCTCTCACATTTTGCCAGTGCTTTGGCTTAGCTAGCCCGGCACTGGTTGAGATGCCCGCAGACATCGGATCAGTTCTCGTTGAAAAGGCAGGTGAGGAGCCTTCACATAGCTTCCTGAAGCCTTCTCAGGTTTTCTTCTGCTGCACATTTCCAGTGGTACGAGCCGACTGCAGTGAGGTTTTTAGGTTTCTCATTCGCAACATAAGTAGACGACAGAGTCCCTGGCGGAGACTGACCAGCATGTTCGATTCCGTTAGTGAAGATGCTTAATGGTTAATGTGCTCTCACGCACCGCGAATCGTTGGAGCGTTGAGAGCATGAATTGCAGGAGCTGCATGCAACCTGTGGAACTACTGACTAATGAGCGACTGGACGTAGTGCGTTTCTAGACCTTTGTCAGGGCTCACAGGTTCTCACAGGTTCGAACATGCTCTCCTGAATGCCCGCGGTGTCACAGACAGTCGGTGCTCAACGCACACTGTCGCCGCTTAACGATGAAGTGCAATGATTTATATACCGTTGCCGGGCTTGGGCTCAGGCAAAACCTGTTACACATCCTGCCATCACTGCTGGGCTGCTTGGTGAGGAAAGTCCTTGAATGCCCCTGGTAGGCCACAACACTTTGGATCTTTCTTCTGGTCGCCGGGCCCTTGCAGTGCCAAGCAGGAGCCAGCAAGTCTTGCAGAGCTTTTGGGCCGACGCTGCAGGTGGCCAGTGCTTATTGCTGTGTTTGTTCCGTCGTCTTTCACCTCTGCTCCTGCCACGCTCTTATTGCCAACTGAGCCTCCATTTTGCTTCGACTGCCGTGGACCAGGTGCTCACGTCGGTGTCAGAGACTGCACGCCGGCGCCTGAATCACGTGCTGGCTTCAGGCAAGTTGTGGAGCTCAGATCGCATGCGAAGTACTCGCGGCTGATGGCCGGTATACGTCTGCTGTGGAGTTTCAGGCGTGAGCACTCAGCGCAGACGCCGAAAAAGAAACTTTCGCCCCCAAGCAACACATTGCCGAACAGAATGTTATGAGAGATGCCGACCGGCACATCCCGAACCACTCATAAACAAACCTGGCGTTTTCGTGTTGCAGTGCAAAATTTGCGCAGACAGCTCACTTGCCACTCTCTTGCCTTTGCTTGTGCAGTAGCTTAGGTACAAGATGGACCTGACGGGCATTGTGGTCTTGATCGCTGCATCGTGCGCCAAATTCGCACTACGGATTGCTGTTCTCGGATTTGTGGCGGCGGGTCATGAGGTACTTCACTGGCATCGCCAGTGCCTAAGAGCAGAGTTCCTCCAGCTCATGGATCGTGAAGCAGACATTTAGAAGCTGCAGGCCCTCGGCTACCGTTGCTATCCCGCCTGGGCCGCATATATCTGCTGCTGTTCTATAAAGGTGATGATGTGTCTGAGCTGTATCATAGTCTACTAGAGTATATTAAAGTGTATTATAGTATAGTATCATATATCATCGTATGGCTCTCTGATTGTGGCAAGGCCTTGCGCAGCTTCTATCTCGCATACGCGGCCTTGATCTCTGTAGCGCTGGCAGTGTCTGGCTGGCGTGCTTTGGGTTGTTTGCGCAGAAAGCAGGAACCGATGACCGCTTGGCTCGTTGCCGCTATGAGGACTCACGCAGCACGGAAGCTGTCAAAGGGTATGACCTGAGAGCGTGGGTTTAGGCCCAGTTTAGGCTGTAAATGTGGGTAAATCTTGGTAAACTCAGTGCGGATAGCATCACCCCTCCCACTCGAGCCATGATTTCACCTGGCAAAGTCCCTGGTGGAGCTTTGAGGGAGCTGCAGCCTGCGCCCCGAGCAGAGAACCGCAAGCTTTTGAATGTGGGAAGGTCGCGGCGGGAGTGGCTCCGTCTAGCCAGTACCGCCGCAAGTTTCGGCCTTGCTTTCAAGGGCCAGCGGGTGCGAGCCAGCAGCGGCAAGCAGACAGTCATACACACCGTCGGGGGCAAAGAGGTGGCGATCCCAGGATCGAATCCAGATACAATGGTCGCCCACGCATTAGACAAGACGGTGTATCCTGCACAGTGGCCTTACACAGCCAGAGATTTTTTTCGGCTGGATGGCAGTGACGATGCGGAGTTCTATGCTGAGCCAAAGCTTGTGAAGCATTTAGAGGACCAGACACTTGCCGCTCTAACGCGTTTCTACTCGGCAGTTTTTCCGAAGGATCAAGCCTTCGATGCTTTGGACATATGCTCATCCTGGATCTCTCATTACCCCAAGGAGCCCAAGCCCATGCGCCTTGCGATCACCGGGATGAATGCCGAAGAACTGAAGCGCAATGTGCAGGCAACGGACTGGAAGGTACAGGACCTGAATGTAACGCCAAAGCTGCCATATGGTGATGCCGAGTTTGACGTTGTCACCAACACGGTGTCGGTGGACTACTTGACCAAGCCACTTGAGGTCTGCAGCTCTGTTATCGGGCTTTCTTGTAGTGATGCTTCTTGGGCCACAGGGTTCTTTTCAACCGAAATGTCGGCGTTGCTTCCTGGTGTGCTTTAACTCGAATTGCTTAAGGTCTTCACGGAAGTTGGCCGCGTCTTACGACCTGGGGGATTGGCCATCGTGGCTTTCTCAAACCGCTGCTTCCTGTCAAAGCTGGTAGCCATCTGGAGCGTGGGTGACCCCGACGACCGGGCGGAAGTGGCAGCGAGCTACTTCCATTTTGCAGGCTGCTTCGGTGATCCTGAGGTTGTTGATCTCTCGCCGCCCAACACAGACCCCCTTTACGTGGTCTGTGCACTCAAGAAATGACGGGGGTGTCAGAGCAGAGCAAATCAGAGGGTAAAGTGGAGCTCTTGTGCCTGCACTCTGCAGGTTGCAATCGTTGGAAGAGAAATAAACATTAATTAATATTGATATTAATATCAGCAATTAGTATTGGTGCTAATATAGTATATAGTATATCGTATATAGTATATAGTATATAGTATATAGTATATAGTATATATATATATATATATATTAGCTCCCTTTCAGAGCCAGGCCGCTCTTGAAGCGAGAGCTGGTGAAGGAGACACCATCGTCTCTCGTCTCTGCTGCGCTGTGCCGAGCTTTGTGTCCTCCCTGGTGGGCAGGATTTGGCACAGCACATGGTGCTGTGTGTGGTCCTTGGGCTTGTTCCTGCCGCCTCTGCCCTAGACACAGCTCCCTTTCGCCCGACACTCCGAGAGTGCAGTACCAAGGTGCATTTTCTCTTTGCGGCCACTGGGAAGGACCCTGGCTATCCTCTTGAAGTCGAAGTGTGATCCTGTACCGCGCCCGCCGTGTAGCACTGTTTTAGTCGTGTAATCTCAGCCTTAACATTTGCTCTGCGATTGAATGGCTCCCAGCTAAAGCCATAGAAGGCCACAGACCATGCCGGGTTCAAGTCGGAGACATCCATACCGGTCCATACCGTGAGCTGACCTCCCTCAGCAAGTAGCCTCACATGACGGCCTTGCGGCTTCGATGAGCCTGTCTCTGCGCACAACTCAGGGAAACTCAGGGTGTCTACTTGCCTGGCAGTGTTGCGGAGAAAGGTAAGTCGTTGGTACCCCCTAAATACCCCTAAACCCTAAACTGAGGCAGGAAGAGTGGAGCCCCGAGCTCCTGAATGAGCTGCAGCGCGCGTGCGCCCAAGCTGCCCTCACATTCTCGCGGTCGTTTCTGACTTCTGACCCTGCCGTTGCTTGCATGGCGTTACATGGCCCGTGCAGTGTGCATGCCTGCCGCAGCATTCAACTTAAGTTGCGTGCTTTAGGGAAAGAAGTGATGGCTGTCGTTGGGGAAAACCACCCGACGCCAATTACCCTGGATTTGAAGAGTCCTCCAGTCGATGTAAATGCTCCACTGGATGCGCGGGACATCGAATTGGTGCAGCAAACGTTTGCACGGCAACTTGGCAGAATTCATGGCTCTGGGATGTACTGCAGACTTGAGAACTTCAGGTCACTTCCTGGGGCCTGGGGTTTTCAGGACTCCTGGAACTGGGAAACTCAACACTTCCCGGGCCTGGGCGCGCTGGTGGTCCGTGTTTTCTGCTGTAACCGAAAGTCCTATAGAAGGCACAAGAAAGGCGCTGCTTAAACTGCTAGAAAGGCGAGGGGAGGGTGTGCTCTCGATTACCAGTGCAGCCCGCAAGCTCTGCGTGCGGTCTAAGGGTGGCGATGCTAGGTTCGAACACCATCGGGCGGATTCTGTTTATGAACATTTTCAAGATTGCCCCGGGTGCTGTGGACCTGTTCCCCTTCGCGAAAGGCGATGCGCACATGTGGAGACCAGGCAGTCCGCTGGAGGTGCATGCTCTGAAGGTGGTGGAGACCGTGGCCACGGCAGTATCACTCTTGAAGGACCTGGACACTTTGGTGCCCATTTTGCAGAGCCTGGGTCTGAAACACGTGGGCTACGGGGTTGAGAAGGCCCACTACGACGTGGTAGGCCAGGCCCTCATCGCCACCTTGGAAGTGGCCCTTACGCGCCACTTTACTGAGCCAGTGAAAAATGCCTACTTGAAGGTTTGGACTATTGTCAAGAACACCATGATCTGTGACAACTATGGTGGCTGATTACACGGAGTTGGGAGAAATGGAATGCTGACGTAGGGTGACGGGATGACAAACATGGCCTGACACTGCGTCAAGCATTTGGAATAGAAGCTGTCTCACCCCTCTTTTCTGTTCCGTTTCACTGTTGCAAGATGTGTTTGAAGGTTTGAAACGCAAAGGGTGGCGAGCAGACGACCAAGGTATTGTTGCCTTGAACTTTTATGACATGACAAAACTCCGTGGCTAACTCTATAGAGCCTCGCCACCAATTCCTTGCTGGTCTCGGACTTTTCCAGCGCCCCGGAAACGCCCAGGGCTTCTCTAGCGTGGCAAGGGCGGGTGCGGGGGGGGCCGCCTGTCCCGGACCAGGGGAAGGCAATAGGATGTTGATGCAGGCACAGGCAAAAGAAAAGACTGAGGACTGTTCTTACCGCGGTGAGTGGACCCCTAGACCCCTCTCAAGTGGACCGGTGGCTTTCAGGCGGTACCCGTGCTGGAAAGTGGATCCTTGGACTATGAGGACCGAGCCTCCGACCTTTCATGACGGGCTCGGTTGGCACAGTCATCACGCTGAAGGATGCGCAGAATGCGTTGCAGACCGCGCCTGGCAGCCACTTTGCCTGGCCGTCAGGCTGGGCCGGGGCGTGTGTGCCTCTTGTAGACCTCCAGTCTTTCGTGGCACCTCTGCAGACTGGCCGCAGAGTTCGAGGAGCGACAGCGGGATGCTGAGACGAGAGCCCTTTGGACAGCTCCGACTGGGCCCTGAGACCGCTCTGCTCTGAGGCGGCCTGCGCTGGGGCGGCTGGGCTCAGGAGGCGCGCTTCCGCCAGGGGCCCGGCCCGACCCAGAGGAGGGCTGCGAAGAGGATCCATGCGGTCTCCACTCTTTCTCTCTCTCGAATTTTGAGTCCCAGGGCTGATGGGTCGGCAGCCCGAAGAAGGCACTCGACTTCCGAAGCCTGATCTGCTTTCGGCCGCCCGGCTTCATGTTCATGGTTAGGTAGGGGCCAGAAAGCATCGGATACCTGGTCAGGGACAGGCTAGCTTCGCCAGCTTGTTACGCATTTCCCAGACTGTCGTAACCTTCCGGTTGGGGATGTGACGAAGGATGGGGCGATGGCGCTACCAATGAGTCTCCTGCCTCAGCTTGGGTCCGGAGACACTGGAGATATTTCATGAAGGGTCCTCAAGTCGTCGAGCAGACGAGGGTTGGGGAGCTGCAACTTTGCCGACTGCCGGGCATGCAGTGTGCTTCTGCAAGGCACCATGACGTCCGGCAAGCGGCGGACGTACCCAAATCGAAGCACATTTCAGGCCTGGCCTGCGCAAGAGATGTGATCATGTGGCGGCATTCGCGTGATATGTGAAGCCTTGTTGCGCCGGAGTGCTCCCTATAGTGTGCTCTAATGGTATGCCGGCTGGCGAGTGCTCCCATGGTACCTGCGGGGGTGGATTGAAAGTCGCTGGGCGTCGAACCCGCATGCGCTGAGATATCCAGCGGCATCCTGATCCCGAGATGCTGGTTTCACTGCTGTGCTGCTATAGGAGCAAAGCAAACAAGACTTGTGCCAGGCGCATGTCTGCTGCGTCATGGATCCACTTCAGGTTCCTCACGTACGGGACCTATTTCTGGCATGCTCGTTGGAAAAGGTGCAGTGCCGACCGGGGTTGCAAGGTTCTGGAGTCCTTGCAGAAAAGCTCTCAATTCAAGTCGGTTCGGAGCTGGCCATATGCGCATCTCGGTGGCAGTATGTGCATGGTCGGCTTGAAGACAGAGCTCTGTCCCGACAGCAAGGTATCGCATCGTCTCGCCGTTTGATGGTGAGGTGTCTTGCTGCCTGTAGCAGAGAAGGGGAGTCTGTTTTTACGTGGAGCCAGGTGCACATGGAGAGCGAGGACGACCATGACCCGGGAGCGGGTGGCAAAATGCTCGGGTCTGCTGCCCAGGGTGGCTCTCCTTTGACAAAATCTTTACTGCGCGTGAAGGAAGGATCGACCCTGCTTTGACACCAAGGTTGCTGAAGCGCATGGGACTGGAGAATCTTCTCCTCATCATATCGCATTGGGACAGCGGCCGCATGTCTAAAACATCGCAGCATGATGCTCCAGGTAGACGTGTCTTGACCTCCAGGCAGCAGCAACCGCTTGGGCGCAGAGCTGTTCAAGTCGGGGACCTGAACGCACAGTTTCTGGAGCCTTCAGGAAGCCCGGATGTGTGCCAGGTGTGTCACGGAGCAATGCAAGGACTTGCTGAAAGAACTTCAGGAGGCCTGACAGCCCAGATACTCACCGGGACCCAAAGGGCTTGCTTCCGTTTCATCTGCAAGGACTGCGTGGGTGGTCTGTTCGGAACAGGGGGTGGCTTCAAATTGACGGTCGGCCCATGGTTATGGTCAAGGTCTCCGTGTCGGACTGTGTGCCCTTGTCGGCCGTCGTCCCATGCTTGTTGTTGCTGTAGCGGGGCAGGTGCTGTTTGGTTCAAGGGGCCAGCCTGATGCACCCGCTGCGTTTGAGATGCCTGGATCTCTCTCAATTCCGATACCCTGACGGCACGACCCACAAAGCACGGATGGATGGCAGGCTGTCCGGGCCTCCTTCCCCCCCGAGGAGCTTCTGATTGCTGGCAGGTCGGACAGCTGCAGCGGATGTTGTCAGTTCTGGTGAAGCATGGTGTCCTGTTCTGTCGTGTTAGTTCCTCTCCAGTGTTTTATGTTGTATTCTTTCTGGATGGAGTTGGGTCGACGGAGGTCGACCGAGCAAGAGGATGCCCCAGCGCTTGAGGACCTCTTGCCATTCCGGCTTTCCGAGCTACGAAATCGCGCGCCTGCTCTGCTGAGGACGGGCAGACGCCTGGCAGCGGTGCGCCACATTGCAAGATGCACGCGGGCACTAAATTCGTCTAAGCGCCTGAGAAGACATGCCACCTAAACACCTGCCAAAGCGCAAAGCGAGCCGCAAGGGGGAGCCGTGGAACGCAGCTCACACAAGGGAAAAAGCCTTAAACCCTGGTGGCCGGAAGCCCTCCTTGCCCGAAGCCCTATAGATCAAAGCCGCGGGAAGATCAACGGAGTTCGGCCCACCGCAAGACCGGCTCACCAACAGCTACTGAACATGTCACCCTCTTTGGAGCATGTTTCCGTAACTTTGCTTTGAGCGCTTCTTTGAGGTACAGAATCCATGTTTGGCAGCGACACCTATGGAGACACTTTCAGCGATCCGTTGGAGGCGCGGGTATCTAGCATGGGCAGGAGAAGGCAACATCCTTCTGCAGTGCAAAGTAGCAAAGGTTCCAGATCCGCCGTCGACATCGAGGTGGGCAGGGCACAGAGGGAATGAGCCATGCTTGGAGTGAGTGCTTTTAACTTCTGCACTTCGATCAAAGGCATGTCGATCTCCGTGCTATCGGTGCAACTCCTCCTCCCGAGCTGATGTACGTGGCCTTGTCGCACTGAAGTGCCTTCTTGCGCCAGCATGCACGCATTGCGAACATGGGCATGCTTAATTAAGATATTTACTACATACATGCTCATAGATATGCAAACATATTCACACATACATGTCAGTGTTTGCTGTGTGGGCGTCATTCTTGCCCTCTCTCTCTCTCTCTCTCCATCTCGCTTTCTCTCTCTTTCCCTTGTCTCTGCGTCCTTCTTTATCTCTCCCTCTCTCCCGTTGCATTGGCGGACCCGGCACTGGCAGTCTTCAACATTCTGAAAGCAGGTTTTTAGCGTTCTTGACATTCCGGAAGCTTACTGACATTCATTCAAAGCAAAGACATGCTGCAAGAATCTAAACTGCTGACGTTTCATGTTCCATTGTCTCTGGTACTCTAGTGATCAAGATACCGGAAATACAACGCCAAGATGCTGCCTCTGCATTGACGTTCTCACACCCGCATACTGCATACCATCACTAGAGCTATTCCCATACACGTGAAAGATTGGGCACTGCCGACAATGTCCATATAGATGGCATCAGAGCCTCATGTTCCGTACAGTGGCAGCTACGTAATCATGGGGAATGGCACAATAGTGGTTCGTGACGAAAACATGCTGAAATCCTTGAAGCTTTACACTCATGTTACAATGTTATTGTCGTGAGAATCGAAATTCGTCTATCGGATGCACTGTTTATGTAATACTGTGATACACAGTACGACCCATGCTAAGATCATTTGATTGGTGAGTAGCTCCTATCGCAAGAGTCCCTACTTCACTGCAACGTATGGAATCAATTTAATCAAAAAATGGGGATGCAAGAGGCTAGAGCATAGCAGAGCAAAATACTCGGGCTCACTCATGGGATAGTCATGTGGGACGCAATGATCCGTATGGAACAAGACCCAAGGTGCCTTAGGACAACGCTGTGACGGTACGGCACTTCCTTTAAAAGGAAGTAGCACAGTTTAGCACGTGGCCGTTGGGGTCCAGGGTTTACAGGTTGATTGTCAACGTCAGTGTCACTTGTTGCGATGATATACGAGACCTTCCACCTCTGCACTGGTCTGTCCATGTGCCTGCTTGCCTTACGCTCTCCTGTGCCCATCTGTCGTGTCTTCGTCTGCCTTGCCTGTCTGTCGGTTCGTCTCGTGATCCGTTTCTTTGTGGTCCGGGCTCTGCGTTTTTTTTCTTGTGTGTGTGTATGTGTTTGTATTATTTTTGAACATAGAGCTTGGCTGTCTCCAGATATACTGACTATCGGTTGGAGGCTGTGGATCAATGCACAAGTGTGTGCCTCTCTCACTCTCTCTCGTTGTGTTTCTGTGTTTCTGTGCGCACGGCTATGAGCGCGCGCTTGTTCAAGCTTTATAGCACGCCCTTGCCTTCTCTTGTTTGAGCCTTTCGCCACTGGCATGCACGAAGCTTGTTACCGGAGGCAAGCCGAGGCGTGTGCATCCAGCAGAAGTGCCCCGCCACATGGTCCATGCTGCCTCTCTTGCTCTAACATGATTCCGTGATGTAGCAGCGTCACGCAGAATCGCTTGTCCTGAGTCGGCGGATGTGGCCGTCTCCACCGAAGCGGCAGCATCCCAGCGGTAGGGCCCTCGGCAAGAAATCACCGGCACTGCGACGGCCGGGGACTTTGCATGAGGTCATGCCAGCCGTGATAACATGGGTTTCCTGGACAGAGCCTTATTCAAGTTCCAGGAAGAGAGTTGAGACATTGGATGACGCTGGCAAGCGTTCCTCCACCAAGGTGCAGAGTGTCTACCGGAAGGCACGGAGCCTGTGCTGCTGTCTGACTTGTTTGGTACTTAGCCCTTCGCAACAACTGCTGCCTTATGTAGGGGGACGAGCAGAACCCAACCCATGACTTCGGTGCTGCGGCAGCGTGCCTACTTGCATGCAATCACTGGAGGGATGGCGTTGTGGTAAAGCAAAGCCGGAATGAGTCGCAGGTGGGACCAAAGACCAGCAACAGAGGCCTCTGCTCTTCATTCCAAGCCGGTCCGCACGATTTTCTGCTGAACCCCCACGATGTGAGAGGCGACGGACTGCCGATGGGCAGCGTGAAGTCTAAGCGAGACCAGGTGCTGCCCTTAGTTATGCAAAACAAAACTTCGAGACTTTGCGTGGTGACAAGGCTTACACTTTCATCACGGAGGGGGACATCCCAGCACGACTCCCGTTTGTTGTGGGAGTCTCCGAAAATGGCGCACGAACACCAGCCTTGCGAAATTGATTGAAGCCCAAGGAAGTGGTTGACTTCAATGGATTATCCAACGAGGACACAGCACAGACCTATTCATCACATGTCAACTGCCTGAAAGATGTGATTGCCCAAAGGTTGCAATGCCGTAGCAAACAGGAACTGGAAAAGTTGTGCTCGCAGCTGCAGAGCGACAGGCTTGGCAGATCACATGAGACTCAGCAAGTCCAAGAAGTACTCCGGTTGCAAAAGCTTGCAGGGATGGCTTGGATTCACATTTGCTCTCCCTCGCACACTACGAGGATGCGGGGACCACGCTCGACGAGTGCCTTCAGAGCGTCTCGAAGGGTCTTCAGCCTGAGGTCCTGAAGCCGCAGGTCGAGAAGACGAAATCTGATGGCAAAGCCAGAGGCCCCTGGGGTTTCTTGGAGTTTGGGAGTTTGGTGAAACGCCTGGGTGTGGGGTGGAGACGCTGGGCTGACAACAAAGAGCTAAGATTACGTCAGGTGCAGGCCATTCGAAAAGGCTGCGGAAGTGACCTGGGAATGAGGAAAGCTGCTGGGGTAGGCTTCATCCGTTTAATCGCTGGATGGCGGCTTGTACGAATCGGGCAAAGCTGTACAGGCCCGTGGGGTAGGTGATGCTAATACGGCATCGCGCACCACCGCTGTCTCACCGAAAGAATGAAACAAGCTCAGCTGGAGAGAGTTCCCTTCGATTCCTTGTTTCCGGAAAGGAAGCCGCGTGCGTGCTCCCGTACCTGCTTCTAATGTTTGGCAGCTACGGTGCCGGGAGATGAGCTCAGAAGGGAGAGAGCTCCCAGTGGGGCAGTCTTGGACTGGTCGCTGACCGAGGGCTTGCTTCTACTTTGCTCGCTGGCCCGAGTGCCGGGGCCTTGCATACCTGTAATGATGTAATGCAATGTAGTGTGTTTCTACCATGAAGAGTATATTACATTTTTTAATATTATATCATATGTGTATATACAAAGATGTATATATATATATATATATATGTATATATATATATATATACATAGAGCTCCCAGGTTGCTGGCCGGGGTACTTCGACATAGTCGGACACAGCCATCAGGCCCTGGAGCCCTTGCCCTGCTCGCAGTAAGATACACATGGACCTGGGAGTTTCCGAAAATAGGGGGACCCTAGTATAGTACCCTAAATAGTAGGATCCTTACTGTAAGGACCCCCCAAATTACAGTACCCCAAATCTTCCGAAACTCCCACTGACGGTTTCATGTTCTCCGTCGTCTCAAGAATTCAAGAGGAGATGGTCAGTGTTCAGACAGGCTGGTTCTATAACACGTTGCAATGTGGGAGCTGTGTCAGTCAAATCCGGATTAAGATGTGACTGCTTCGCGATCGCTAAAGTAAAGGTACCTCACATAGTCACCCCGATGTGTACATTATTCAATGAATTCTCGGCATTGAGGTATCATGCAGACGCAATGACGACAGGCATTCGTCGCCATGCCCGGGCACTTGCGAGTTGCCTGCGTGCAAATGAATCCGCTTCACAATCAAGTGGAAAGGAACTGCGAGCATGCACTGAACATGTTGAAGAAGAAGGAGCATGAGTTGAAGGGTGTGCACTTGCTTGTGCTTCCGGAGATGATAATGACCGGATACCATTGGCGAGATGCAGAGCACATCCAGCCTGTCCTTGAGGCCGCACAAGGCCAGACGCACAAATGGTGCAAGTCTGTGGCGAAAATGTTGAGCTGTGTGGTTTGCTGCGGCGTGCCTCGGCGAAAAGGACGGAGGCGATTGAACTCCATGATCGTCACAAGCCCCCGTGGCAAACTCCTTGAGGCAGTCGACAAGGTCCATCTCTATGAGTCCGACAAGACCTGGGCTGAGCCTGGAGATAGCTTCAAGAGTGTAGAAGCCGTGGAGGGCCTACCTGTGTCCCCGGTGGGCTTCGGAATCTGCATGGACATCAACCCAGCAGACTTCAAAGCACCTCCCGAGAAGTTTGAGTTCGCAAACTTCCACCTGCAGCACAACTCCAAGCTCTTAGTCTTCACGTCGGCCTGGTGCAAGAACCACCCCGATGACAAACCCGAGACTTTTGCGGACAAGTCTGATGCAGAGCTTTCGCAAGAGACCATCGATGCCTGGCTCAACCGCCTGAGACCCCTCCACGGCAAGCGCGTGATCTTCGTCTGCGCCAACCGGGTGGGCAAAGAAGAGCTCCGGCTTCTAGGCCGGGACACCGACCTCTGCAACCAGTTCTGTGGGACAAGTTGTGTCATCTCCCTCGAGGACCAGACTGTGGTGAAGCACCTCTCTGCCAGTGAAGAAGGTATACTAATAGCAGACATACCTGTTCCCTGCGGCTAACAAAAGAGACGCATGCTTAAAGCTTCCATTCAGTGCATGGATGTGCTGCTTGTTTTCGAGCCTGTGTGCCTGGATGCAGTTCTGGCATCTCTTCGTGCTGATGGCCGCAGTACGCCTGCCTGGGTTGTAGCTGTCGCAGTGGCCAGTCCTGCCAGCAACTAGTCGAGGTCTGTTGGCTGCAAGGATGCCGTGCGATGACCGAGATTGCCATGGTCTGTGAGGCCCTTTGTTTGCAGGGTGTGCGCACTCCGGTTACTGTGGTAGACGCTGCGTTGCAGCGGCAGGTGCTTGACGTGCCTGAAGAGGGCATGATACTTCCATGAGCTGCTCGAATCAGCGAGCAGGCAACAGGACATTGTGAGAAAAAACGAGCCCAGCTACTTGGGGGGGGGCGGGGGGCGATTTGAAGCATCTCGGTGTTCTTGCGGTCAGCGCCCAATGACTCCGTGCTCGCAGCCTCCTTCTTTGGGGGGAAGTAGCCTTGGCTCCAGAGTCGCAGAGAATGAGCTTCGAGCTCACAGCCTTCCCCCTTCTGGGGATTGAGCAGGGTCCTCGAGTCAACCGTGACGAAGCGCATCATTACTGTAATTAATGTTATTGTTATTATCATTCTTATTGCTGTTACTATTTTTATTACTAGTACATTATCACTATCATTATTATTACTAATAACATCTGCGACTCTGAGGCGGTTTCTTTACGGATACATCTATCAGTTTCCCGAGCCTGCTGCCCAGCCTGGGAGTGCATGCGACTTTCGGATTGAACATCGCTCCGCGTCTGTGTCTTTTCTGAGGTCATTCAAGCGTTGTTGCAAGGGGCCGCTGAAGTCACTCCTGGACTACGACGAGGGTGTCTACTGGCAGGCTGCGTGTGGCTCTACAGTTCAGTGGCTTAGCAGCTGTCCCAGTCTCGGAGACTTGGTCAGAGGTAGCGAAGCATCTGGGCGTGGGCATCAAAGTCTTCCAGTGCTGTTCTCGAACTTGCAAGGATAAGAGCCTGGCCAAAAGCTTTGCATCCCTGCCAGCTTGGCATTGCAAGGTTTGGAGTCTTGGGCTATGACCTTGTCTTGCGAAGGCCTGTAGATGTCTTGTAGCATCTGTCAGAGGGGTCATCGCTGTGTCTTTTTGATCCGCCGTTAGTTTTGCTTTACCTGTGCCAGCTGAGTGTGTCTGAAACCATGTACATCCGTTCCAAATGTGAACATCTGTTTCTGCGGCTGTGTGTATTCTGTACATGCGCGTGGTCTGGTGTATTTCGTCATGTCACCCGAAATGCCTGATGCAACGATCTACGCCAACAGCTCGTTAGTTGGTCCTTCAGGAGCTTGTCGCTTGCTGAACCACGCCTGCTTTGCAGCGAGCCCATCGAGGTTGATTCACTGGAGTAGCAAACTTGTGCTGTTTCCTGCTTTCGGTTTCCAGTCTGGCTCAAGCGAAAATCTTCGGTTCTTCGTTGCAGTTCTATGCGGGAGCCCCCGGCAGCTGGTTATCACACACTACCTGAGCTGCGGAAGGCCGGTCCGAGCTTCAAGCTTTCTGGCCTGTCCTAGGAAGGCCGGCCATATGAGACCTGAACTTTGATAAAAGGGGCGCACTAATTAAGCAAGTTTACACAAAATCCGGCAGAATGCGCCATGGCGGAGCCGGAGTTAGCCTCCAAGGGGCCGCGGAAGAGGCACCAAGCTCACGGCAAGCCCATGGGCTTCTAAGTCCGCAGCCAATGAGGCGGGCAGAGATGACCTGGCCTTCCACCCTTTGGTGAGGCAAGGGGTTTTAGGGCTTTAGGGATTCGGGTGGGTTTCGGGTGCAGCTTCGTGGATAAGTGTTTTGCAGAGCTGTGGCCATCCTTTCCGTGTCCTTGTGATGATGCTGACTGCAAGGCCAGAAGATGAACTGCTGGAAGCAGGTCGCAAAGCAGAGCAGCGATGTGAGGACATGCTTAGCCGCGCAAGCCAGACCGTCTCAGGACGCTGGAAGAAGCCTGCAAAAGAAGGTGAATCCAAAGGCCTTCGGCGACCAGAGCTCCAAGCGAAAGGGAAGCACAGGCGTCATATGAGAACACTGGCGAGGCCATCTCATCTATCTGACCGGAGCGAGGTCACTGCTGGCTCTTTGGATCCTGGGAGACCATTTCATTCACCGGGCCGCTTGGTTTGCTGATCAGGTACTTGCGAATTCAGGACGGATGCTACAGTGCTCAGTGCCTGGGGTCACGAATGTCATCCCACGGTCCGAGGCCAGTGTCTTCACAGACCGCTCGAACGTCGCCGTCGCTGCATTCATTTCACTGAGCCTCTTTGCTGAACTCTGCACAGTCAGCCACCAGAAGGCAACCGAAGCACCGGCAGGGATCAGCGGTGCAGTGATCACTAAAAACGTTTCAACAGAGCCAAACAAGCAGAAGCCTGCTAAATTGGTGTTCGCCCATCCAGTCATTTCAATTCCTGATCATTGTGTTGTGCTTTCAAGCGTGTCAGGTGGCTTCGTGACCCAATGGGCTTACAGCACCCGAGACTTTTCGCGCGTGGGTACCGTCTTCCAGTACCTGGTTAGGCAGGATGCGAAAAGGGCTCGAGTCTTTTGATACTATGTGGATCAAGTGCGTAGTCTTGAGTCTGAAAATCTAAGCTAGCATCGCAGGCGCATTGGAAGAGTGGCACTGACCACTTACTTCGCCATGCTGGCTGCTGTGGGCGTACTGGCAGTGCAGACTCACATCCCGAGCTGGAGGTCAGAGTCCGAAATTCGAAATGTTTCTTATCTGTCTCGCACTCCCAAGGCTATATAAGGCTAAATTCTGCCAAGCCAGCTCTAAATTCTCTTGGTTAGGGTTTTGTTTTCGAAGAGGCAACAAAGAACTAGACTCTCGCTCTCAACCTCCTCCAGCTTGACCGCACCTCGCCCGAGTACCCTGTGCGCAAGAGTCACTGTGACGCTATTTTCCCAGTTTGCGATCAAAGAAGACTTGTCCGAACAAGCTGTGGAGGCACATGGTCCGGTGTTTCCTCTTCGTGGAAACCTGGTTACAGCCAGAAAACTGGTGCCCCGATGGGCAAAGTTGGACCATCGCGGCGCTCCTGCCCAGCTGGTCACTGGGCCAACCAAGGGTGTCAGATCAAGGATTTGAGCACCCGGTCGTTTTCGGCTCGCCTGCACGAGTACCCGATCATTTGCTCGTTCAAGGGTGAATCAGGCAGATTTAGTTTGCATCTCGTGCTGAACGCAGGACGCGCCCATGTGTTTTTTCAGGGTTAGGTGCATGCTGTAGTGTTTGATTCGTTGCTCCTGTTGTTCGACAGTTTAGCCATGCATGGTGCCTCGCATTCCAGTGTCTAGGGCCCAGGGGATCGACAGACAATTTTCGACGATTATGGGTGGACCCAACTTGCTCCCAGATTCTTGCAAAGACGATGAGAGGTTTGAGCTTCGAATCTTGTCAGGGGCTGGAAAGTTCAAGATTTGGGGCATTTGGAGTCACCTCTTCCGCCAAACATCGACGAAAGGCTGCTCTACCCCTCGCTGAAGCATCTGGTTGGCCTCATGGAGAAGAAGTACGGCGCTTTAGGCCTCCTGCAGCTTTTGCTTGTGCACTCCGGCGGCGCTATGCATGAAATCTTCTGGAGTTGAGCACGGGAGCGTTTTTCCGCCAACATGCGAAGTTGCAGTCGAGGCTCTGGATGATTTCCGCCGGGCCAAGCTTGGTGGTCTTTCTGCTGCAGGACGGCTTCTTGACCAACAAGCAGCACAACCTTGCATACCTCTGGCCTCCGAGCCAAATGCCGGATTTTGCAATCGGCGTGGCAGCTTGGCATTAGAAGCGTGTCGTTCTTTCTGGCCTCAGAGCATCTCAGAGCTGCAGACTCCCATGTTCCGAGTCTTGTGCTCGTAGGCTCGTAGGCTTTGCAGATAAATTGGCACCAAGATTGCAGCAACGCTGGCCAAACGGCACGACGCAAGCTCTGCAAAGTCAGGTGGGTCAGGGTGCTGCTCGAGTTGAGCCTCCTCTGCAGATACGGATCTCGAAGCTCGCAGGGTTGCCGCCTGCCTGGCTGCGGGGTCTGCTTGCAGATCTGTCCCTCATCATCATTTTCGCTGTGGTGTGACCTGGTTGCAGTGGAGGGTGCCGGATGCAAGTAGCAGCAGCAGCTGCCAGGTTGATGTCAATAGATTCAATAGAAACAGTTAGTAGCTAATTGTGAAAATAGTGATACAGCAGTCAGAATAGTTATAGTAGTTAGAACAGCTATAATGGCTATTGCAGTCATAGTTGCTACAACAGTCATAGTTGGCAGAGTTGTCTTAACGGTTATAAAGGCTGTAATGGTCTCTGTCGGTGGCAGCGACAGAACCTGTTCGCTTGCTCACTTATGCGTTCTGGCGCCTTGCCAGGTTATTGGTGCCCAGCTCGGGTTACCACGAGGCTGCGACATGTCATCTTCAAAAATGCAGCCAACACGCCAATGTAGACGACACGCCGAATCAATCCTTAGCTCATGTGCATCTCTCAATGCCATGGTTAGAGGAGGTAAAACTATTGTGATAGTATTCTAGCAATAAAAATGATAGTAGTAATAGTGACCGTCTTTTTAATAATGATGATCTTTCTAAAATGATAGTTATAATACTGATAGTAATAATATAATAGAGCTCTAACGCAGGGCTGGGAGCCCCTCTACAACCACAGCCTGGGCCCGCTCTGGGCGCTGTTCTTCTACGGCTCCGCTGCCAGCCAGGGCTCAGGCACTCCCCGAAGGGCCTGAGGGCCCTTGTTACATCGAAGTCTACCCTAAACCCCTAAAACCCTAAACCCTTAAACCCCTAAAGCCCTAAACCCCTAAACCTCTAGACCCCTAAACACTAAACATAAACAACATAATAACAATAATAACAATAGTAGCAAAAATAATCACAATAATAACAAGAACAAAAATTATAATCAGCACTAAACAACCAGGCATCTCGGCCTGGTCCCTCGGAGTGGCCCCCTTGGCCGTTCTCGGAAAGTACAGCTTCGAGGCCGGAGGATGACAGGATCGGCCTTTAAGCTGAGTTATACTAGGTATAACAGCTATAATTTCTATAATAGTTATAAAGGTTACAACAGCTATAAAGGTTATAGCAGTTATAAAGGTAATAATGACAGCTATAATGGTTATTAAATGCTTCGCGTCGCCCGCCTCGGCCTGGCTGCGCACGTATGTGCCGAATTGGTTGGAGGTGCTTGTCTAAGGCGGGCCTACGGTAAGCATCCGGAGCCTGCATCGCTACCCCGTGAAGAGTTGCCTTGCCGAAGAGAATTCTTGAGCCGAGATCTTGCAGGCTACGGGGGATTGCTTTTGCGCAAGTGTTCTGCACAGAAGTTCGGTACTTTTGCGACTCTCAGTATCTTTGACTACTATTTGCTTAAGAACCCCCAAAAAATAAAAAAATATATCCCTTATGGTGGTAATATAGGGATTATTATTCTTTTTTGGGTGTTTTTTAAGCAAATAGTAGTTGACTAAAAGCCCTAACTGGAGTAGTCGAGGCGGAGGGGGAACGGTGGGGGGGAGGGGGGCGGGAGGGGGCTGCGCACCTACAGAGAGCCCAAATTTATTGGAGGAGGCGAGATATGGTCGTTATAACGGTTGTATAAGTACAAAATCTGACCAGGTCTTCTTGTTTCAGCAGCCGCTCTTCAACGCTTTCGAGTTGCTCGGCGCAAGCCAGGGCCCCCGTCAGTTCAAGCGTGCATAGCAACACATGCCCAGGATTCTTTGGATTGCAGGCATGAACGAGGCTGGGGGCTGCGGCGCACTAATACTGGCGGACACTACGCTGGTGTCTGGTCAGGTTCTGCCCATGTGGGGTTTTGCCACCATCTTCCTGGCGACCAGACATGAAAGAGCGAAAGAGGTGCCCTCTGACACATATATGACTAAGACTCAGGTGACACTGTATGCCCTCTCCGCGATCTATGCGGAGTGCATCGAGGCGGCTCAAGGCTTGTTTTTTCCCCAATCCTTCTCATCCTTGAGTCCCAGGCTCCATTTGTGAGCTGCCTCCGCTCAGCAACATCAAGCTGGGGAGTGAGTTAGAGCTCCCCAAGGTGACTTGGGATCTCAGACTCAGAGACATTGCGCAAATGCGGGGCTGGAGTGCTTAGGCAGGATGGTTTCAAAAAGAAGCGCAAGCAAGTGCTGGACAGCTGAAGAGTGAGCCGTACAGAGTCCTACTGCATTCTCTCAAGAATCCTCATGACTGCTGAACCAACCTGGTCGTGGCATTGGCTCAAAATTTGTAGCCTGGTACAGCGAGCGGCGTAGGCCACAGACAGCATTGTGTTGGTGAATTCTGGAAAGATTCCGCTGCCACTCCTGACCCTCTGCACAGGTATCGGAACCCTTCTACCAGTCATGGCCTCCCGAATCCTGGCAGTTGTGCTGGCGACAGCAGCAGTTGCAGTGGGGAGCACAGATTAGCTCATGACGGGCATTGTGTGAACATGAAATCCAGAGTTAAAATCTGTTGAAAATGTTTGACTGCGCACACAGAGCTCGGAGGCTCTGCTGCGAAGCGAGGCCGCGATTGCGTTGCAGTTTTGCTGCCACTTCGGCTGCTTCGGAAAGCTCGAAATCCGCAGTGGGAGGGTTTAGGGTTTTTAAGGTTTTAGTGTTTAGGGTTTAGGCGTATCTGATAATAAGCCGCCACTTCACACTGTCTGCAAAACTGTGAGAAGACGCCCCAAAGATGGAAAACCCCAGTCACAAGACGTTCGCACCCGCAGGGCTCTTAAAGCGGCCTTCGTCCATCATGACTCTAGGGTCGGAATCTCGATGCAGGCCTTCGTCTCGGGAGTGCCGCAGCGGTCAGTCCAGCTGCCTTCCAAGGCACCGGGTCTGCCTTGGGAAAAGGAACGGCACAGCAAGTGGTCCATTTCTTCTCGGACACTGAGAGGCCTCTGACTCTATAGGCCCATCAACGAAACGGCATCTGGCACAGTGCAACCCGACACGGGCTTAGATCACAAACTGCCTCAAAAGATACTGTAAAGCTTCTTGATTGCCGTGGACCAGCGCAGTCGAGCTAGATATTCCGCTGCTGCTGCGCCTTGCAATATGTGAAGGTGGCACTGGCGGCAGAGCACAGCACTCAGCTGGAGTGAACTACAAACGCTCCTGCTGTTGCCGTGTGCAGAGGTCCAGCTCCTTCTCCCTGGCGGAGTACCCGGACAGGGAATTCGTACGTGCAAGTGAGCATGAAGCCTGTTAGAACATCCCGAAGCAGGAGAACGATGAGAACATCAGCAGTGCCTCTATTGCAGGGGACTCAGCTCTGCGACCCCGAGACTTCGAGATCCCCTTAAACAGAAGTGTCCCGAGGTGTTCTGGGGCATCTTCGGCCTCCTGCTGCCCCTCCTTGGCGGCTTTACCACGGGCTTGATCTTCGCAGCTTTGGGTGCCTCGAAATCGAAGATCGAACCCGAAACCTCAAACCTCCCGCGGTTTCTCTGACAGGCTGGGGCCTGTCCACCGGGGGAGTTCTCAGTTTCGTGAAGAAGACCAAGCGGCTCGGCTACGACAGAACCGTGGCAGCTGACATGGAGAATTCAATGAATATCTGGCGTCTGACCTGATGTTTCTGCCTTGAGGTCCATTGAGGAGTATGCCGATTACGTGACGCAGGTCAGCGACCTTGGCAAGAAGGGTGGCGAGTACGGTCTGAAGGCGCGGACATGCGAGGACCTGGACCTCTTGCGAAGATTCGGCTCTTCCTTGCCGCAGTAGCTCAGTAGCCCTAGGCCCTAGCCGGCAGCAGATCGTGGCAGGCATACAACTTCGTGGCGAAGAAGACTGGAGAAATGTCGAAGTGAGTTGTCGATACGACGCCGGCTTCGCAAATCTGTGCCGAGGAATTGCTCGGCACCACATCGCAGAAAACAACGCGATGTAATTTGATTTGTTAGGATAGTTGTGCCGATGCATACCTCAGATGGGCTGGAGTGGCACCATCGAGCGGCACTCGCATTGAGTACTTACTGCGATGGAATTGAATATGACGGAAGTGATAGTTATAATGGTTATATCGAACTTGTCACTTGTCCACTCTCCGTGATTCGCGGCCGCTATAGTTCAACAACTTTTTGAATAGGGAAGCGACGCGGTGAATCAACAGCAGGTCATAGGACAAAAGGGCGGTGGGCCAGGCGACCATCAGTTGAGAGGCGATTCCCAGGTCCCAACTCCGTGGAATACTCAGCCGAGGTCCGGGCTTGGCTTTGGTGGGTGTGGGTCAGCTGCTGAACTCTGCGACCTTCAAAACCATCGGCGCAAAGGGAGCCCGCTGCCTGAAGCGGTTTGTGGGACCCCGCTTTGCTTCCCATCGTGCCTGCCCGATTCTGGCAGCTGAGGGGCAGACTTCGTTTCTCACGAATCGTCTCAGGTTTACTACGGGTCGCAGCTTGGATATGATGTGCCAGCTCCTGAAGCAAAGGGCAATGCACGACATTTTTGGTATGTGCTCATGGTTTGGGCCGAAGGCCATGGGCAACGTCATTTCCTTACAACATCGGCATTAGTGATCCGCAGCTGCGCTCTCAGGCACCACCCTTTCTGCTTGGGTAGGAAGGGTTCACGCACTCAAGCCCCAGGTACTGGGGCGTCATTTGCTCTGTCCTGCTCTTGGCGATGTCGCTGTTGCTCTGGAGTCCGCTCTGCTAGTTCCACGAAGGTCTGGGGCTTCTACCTTTGTGTAGCTCCCTCTGGCGACCTTTTGAACCAGCACTTTGTCGTCCCGTGGCTGGAGACCTTCTGGTACGCGGACCCCTCATCTGTCACAGAGTCAGATCTTCTTGCAGACTGGGAATCCAGAGTCGAGCTTGGTGCGCTTCTGAGATTATGTCCATGAAGCTCCTCGAGCATAAGGAGCATCTTTCTCTGTACTGTAGACGCTGTGTCGCGGATGACTGGAAGACTTGCGCGCAGGGCAACGGTGGCCGCCTGCTTCGCGCCCTGGGCTTCGAGGCATACAGGGCATACGGCCTAGGGCAGCACTCAGGCCTTCTCGAAGTGGGCTGCCAGCATGGATCAGGCGAAATGAGCTTCGCAGCCCGTTACAACAGAGGCCTTGTTGTGGATGTTCTGTGTGAATTCGCTGCCCTCTGTTTTGTTCTCACCTTCATTGCGTTTGAGGCGGCTGCGGACGGGTCCCTGTGCAAAGCATTTCAGATCCCGATGCTGCCGGCTGTGTCACAGCAATGTGTCACGAGATGAGCGGCAAGGACGTACAAGTACAAGCTGGCCAATGTCAGATGGGTTCACACCGTCCTTTCGACGATTTTCGTGTTGAGTACCAACGAATGCATGAAACGTCAGTGCTGTTCTTGCAACGGGCCGGCCGTATGTAGATAGTTTCGGATTTTCCGCAGTTTATAAGTTAAGACGGGATCCTAAGCCGTAGGTTTCCTGACTCGCAAGCATGCAGGTCGGATGTTTTCAAAAGCAAGAGTGTCGGGCGTGATTGCAACAAGGGTGTGACAGCCTCCGCAACAGCCCAGAGCGGCCCGCCGACCGTGTCCGACCGGCTCACATAGCGCCACTGTTGAGCATTGCGTTACGGGGTACTCACTGTTTCAGGTGAGTATGCATGCATCCTCAGGCAGTCTGACAGCCTTTGCCGACTCACGGAAGCGATCCTTGTAGTGACGACCGGCAGAAGTGAAATGCCAGCGTGGCCTGCGTGGCCCGCGACTCATGCCTGACCTCGTGGCATGGGCACGGTGGATGATGCGGGGAGGCGCGGGTCAAGAAGTGCGCTTTTGTGGAATAGATTATCCTTGAGTGTCGGCGCTGCCCTGTCCACGAGGCTTCAATTAATTTACGACAACATCCTTGGCTTGGCCACGGCCGGGGTGGTCTCTGCCTTAGAGGATCCCCCTTAGGAAAGCAGCGGCTGACCCTGAACCCTAAACCAAAAAAGGTGACCGTCCTTCCTTCGGCCGAAGAGCTGGCGGAAGGGCTCGAGCACCTGGGCTCGGAGCTCAGGTACTTCAGCCGTAGAGCCGGGTACTCTGCTTGTAGATGTGAGAGTGTCACGCAATGTGACGCAGATCTTCCTCCCAAAGACGATGCCGAACTGTCGGCATGCCTCTGGGTTCTGGAGGGCGCTCTGGGCCCGCTTCTCGAAGAGGGTTCTGTGCTTCTACCCGGGGAGAGCCAGATCCCTGAGGCGAGTGTCCCGCCCCGAGCTTTGAAGAGTTCCTTATGAAAGCTACGGCTGCTGGCTGAGACACTGCGTCCACCATGCAGGCTCAGACTTGTCGTCAGTCCTGTCACGTGTAAATCTGCTTCGCTCAGGACCTGAGCCATTCTCCAACTGCCAAAGTCTCAGTGTGAACCTCCCTGTCTGCCGTCGTCGAATGCCGCCTGTTTCGGTTCGTTTGATTCTTTCTGTCGCTGATCGGCTACAGCCCATGGAGTAGATCTTGGTAGATCTGCTCCGACGAGGCATCCCTTGGGACGAATCTGTCGTCCGACCGACCGGACTGTCTTCAGCTTGCACAAGGTGCCCTTGCAACCAGAACTGGGGAGATCCTCCTCCGGAAAGATCCGCATCAGGTGGGAGCAAAGGATTCCCATCTCCCCAAAGCTTCTTCTCCTCGGACGACAACGACGAGGCCTGTCAAGCAAGGGACTCGGATGTGCCCTCATGTTCCATCCCTCAGGACGAGGCTCAAGAAGATCAAGACCGCAACAGAGCGATGCAAACCTTGCGGTCATCACTGCAGTCGTCGCTGCAATCATCACCTCCACCTGTCCAGCTCACGTTTCCAGAGAAGGGCGACATGGTGCCAAGGGCTCAGCTTCTCGCTGAATTCGCACACTTTGTCAGTCATGCAGTTAGCCGATAACCAGAAGCTAGGAGACGACGGCAGCATTACAGAGATGATATGAACAGAGCTGCTGATAAGGCTTCAGACATGCAAGGAATGTTTGTTGAAATGAAACGACAGCCGTGCGCAGAGATACGCGAATAGTGGTTTGGCGCGCAATGGTTTTTCGAGCTTCGGTGGGGGTTGCACTTTCCCACAGACCACATCACTTCTGGCTTAGATGCTGAAGCATATACCTACAGTTCCCATCACAGAAATTGCCAAAGAGCAGACGCTACAAAAAACAGTTTATGGAATACAAACCACCACAACAGTGCTTCGGGTTGCAAATTCTTATACTGCAGTACTTGATGTACTGCATCACTGCATCAGCACCTCATGGAATGTATTTCTGTGAAAGCTGCGAGTGCCCATAAAGCCACAAATGAAGCGCCTGTTCGGAGACTTGTGGAGCACGCCGTGGGTACAACGTTGTAGCGTCCGCTGATCAGTGCCGTTGTAAGTGTGGCAGTGCTTCGCAAGATCACGCCGTGTTGTAGACTCAATGGCGCATTCATATCGGAGGAAGCAAGAGCAGGAAACAGCGGTTCAAGGGATGTTGTCACCACGGCTCTCATGGAAGCGAACCGTGACACATGTCACAGCATCATAAACATGTGTTGGTTTAAACGGTTAGATGCGAGACTGTCTGAAGATCAGACCGGAAGTACGGCTAGAGGCCCACAGCCCGAGAAACAGACACCGGAGGGTGACGACAGAGTGTCCGGAAACATGACCGGTGTTAGCTAATCCCCGCGATGCCGTCTCAGGTCTTTATTGACAGATGCAGTGGAGCAGATGAGCTTGTTGCAGAGAGAGGCTGGGCCCTTGGAGACTTTCGACAGATCAAGAGATTCCATCTCAGATGTCCATCTTGTGCTGTTGTGGCCTTTCTGCCATCGTGCTCCGATGGAGCTGAGGTCAAGTCGAGCAGCGCGCTCAAGCTTTCAAGCTTCATTCAGGACATCCTCCGATGCTCCTGGAGTCTCACGGCCTACATCTTGCAATTGAATCGCAGCCAGTCCCGTCATGGTTCAAGGACCTCCTTGCTGCTGCGCTGAATCAGGCGCAGGAGTGAATGCCAGTCGCACCAGAAGCATTTGTGTATCGCCGGACACGGTTCAGTCCAGTCTCATTCGAGGTTCTCTCGTCACTGCCCACTGCCGCAGCGCTTTATAGTCAGATGTCTGATGATGTCTGTGCTTTCCGGAACTGCCCGGGAATCGGGGGCCCATCGGGGAGGAGCTGGAGCGGAACTTGGCCACAGCGGTGGAGGGACTTCGCAAGAGCAGGCCACGGAGTTTTCAGTTTCAGGGAAAGCCAAAGGAAACGGGGGATCCATGGGCGCTCCAGTCAGGGAGCTGGTGCAGCAGAGCCCGGCACCTGTGTCTGCCATGGAGTCCTTTGTTCGCGTGTCTGCGTGTCTCGCCGCCACTTGGGACTGCTTCGCTCATTCGCTCCCCTTCAGCTTCAGCACCTACGGAGACCTACGGGCGTCCTGCAAGTTTAAGGCTCAGGCTGTTGCCCCATCGGCTTGTGGAGTTCTGGGCCTGGCAAGCTATGGCGGCCCTGGGCGAAGCGGAAGAGATCCTACTCTACTACTCCGGGGAGTCTGCGCTGGATCCCCCGAAGCGGGAGCCTTCGTTTCGATGCACAGAGCATCGTTTCGATGCAGAGCCGTGCTATTGCCAGGCCCTACAAGATGAGTCGGATCCTGTACCAGGATGCAACTCGGCGTTTTCTGAAGCCTCCAGGCCTCGAAGCCCCGAAGCCCCAAAGCCTGATGCCGTTAAGGCGGGTAACGGAGTCTTCGTCATCACGCTGAATGATCCTGCACGGCTCAACTGCATGAGCTTAAATCTGGCACAGGAGGCGTTCTTTTTCTTGGACTCACGCTTTGAATGGTCGCCGGTTTGATGCTTGGCAAACGATGCATGCTGCGTGAGAGCAGGTGTCCCTATTGCTCGCCACCTGGCTGAGACTGGGGGACGCATATCGCGTAACCCTGCGAACGCACTACTAAGACAAGCACTGCGCTAATCGAAGTCTGATGCACTGCTATCTCAGGAGCATGTGAAGAGGGACGAGCGATGCAAAGTCATTGTGCTCTCTGCTCAGTCCAGCAGTGCCCAGCAATTCTCCAGCTACGAGCGCTCGAGCGCCCAGGTGGACAGGTGCCGGACGAGCATTCAGTGCGGGTGGCAACTTCACAGATGCCAGGACGACCGTTCCGGAAGAGGTGCCACAGAGTCACGGATTCCGCTAGTGACCGCCGGTGTTGCACTTTTGATGGGGGCCTTGCCCACAGGTTTACGATGGCTATGTCCGCGCAGCTTGGCTCCATCAGACAAGCTAAGCAGCTTCACTGATTCACAGTCAAGCATCCATGGGCTGTGTTCAATGAAAGATAAAGCCGCTTGTTCTGGGATCCGAGTGTGCTGAGGCAGGCATTGCAACCCGACTGCCGGACATCTCCTTGTCGGGCCCCACACGGGTGCGCTGAGAGTCGCGAGAGCGAGAGTAGTCAAGACAGTAGGGGTGGGCGGGGAAGAGTTATGACATGACCTCTGCCACAGCAGAGTCAGAGGCCATGATCAAGCTACCAAAGCTTTCCATCGCAGCGGTCAATGGAATGGCCATCGGCGGAGGCGTGAACCTCGCGTTGGTTTGGCAGGACTTCGTGCCTGGGCTTTGGTGTTATAATTCGCCGGGCTTGGCGCCGAAGTTCAGTTCTTCTCTTCGCGCTTGGTTTCTGAGTTAAGGTCTACGTCAGCCAGGACGGCAAACAGACTTGCGAGATGCGACACCTTGAAGAAAGCGCGGCTGGATCAAAGCATATAAAAGCTTTTCTTGCTTTCTGCTTATTGGTGTGCCGGCCGCAGGATGCTGTATTTCGCTATCCCTTCGGTGAGCTGGGGCTGACACCAGAACTGGGCTCTTCAGTGTTGCTGCCCCTTTGATCTAAATTGATCTATGCCGCTACACCACAGAGGATGCCTGCGATCCCGACTCGAGGCCGCAGGTGGTTGGCCTTGTGCGCGCCAAGGAGCTCCTACAGCTCCCTTGCTGAAAGGGACTTCAGAGACTTCGGGTTTTTGGCCTTTGGGGCTCTTTGCGGACTGCCTGCTGCGTGGGGCTCGGCAACGAAGGCTTGGCAGAGAGTTCTCTGCAAAGGAAGCTCTAGAGCCGCCTGGCATGAACGTGGGGTTCAGCTGATCCGCATGGGTTCATCGTCATCTGCAGGATGGGCCTGTGCACAGCAGTGGTACCTCAGGAAGAGGCTCGGATATGTATGCGCGGATTTGGGGATTCAACCACTGTGGCCGGCAACAATCTTTCAGGCTTTTGGTGTGGCTGGTGTACAGGTGCTCGGCAAAGCAATTGAAGCTGCGAAAAAGCTGGCCGCAATGCCGCAGTCCCTCCGCTTGATTTAGGGCGCGAGGCCGGATGGGGGTTCTTGGCAGGGTACAGAGCAGCATCGAAGGTTTGCGCTCCGGGAGTCAAAGCGCCTGCTGAACAAGGACTGCATGGCAATGGCGAATGCGTGGCGGGATCAGCCCCCGCAAGCAGCACACGCATGTCAATGTAGCACGAGCTGTGAGAGGACCTGGTCGCGAGAATTGATAGCATCACGGAGGAAGAGTTGAACGCTTTCAAGAAGGTCGTCGCCGCTTGGAGCCAGAAAGTTATGCACGGAATGTCTTCATCGTAGACTGCCTCTGCCCAGGCGGATCCTGAGACGGTGAAGGCGATGATGAGCCTGGCAAAGCGCACCAGCGGCGGGCTTCTTACTCCTAGTACTGTTCAAAGCCTACTCAGAGTCCACTCCCAAGATGACCACAGGCAAGTCGAAACTGTGATGAGTGGGCCATTCCGGCGTGAGATGCTTGATCTGTGCGCTAGACGGTTCACTCAGATTTTGGTTTCGAGACGCTTGTGCACAAATTGCACGACCGTCAAATGTTAATGTACCAGGCAGTTCAGTGCCGGGGCAGTAGTTTGGACACATGCGCAATGCCGTTTCCGACAGCCAGCTCGCTGGTCAAGCGGCTGGTGCCTGTTTCAAAATCGCCGATGCGATTTGGTGCGAGTCTGACACCTTCATTCATGATCTCGCAGCTCGCAGAATCTCGCAGACGCAGCAAAAGCCCTAATTGGATGTGAGCATGGAGTCGCTCGCTCTGAGGTTGGGACTATTCCAAGAACCTGCTAGCCGAACTTAGCCGAGCTGAGGCATGGTCGCTGATGTCTCTTATCCTTCAATCCTGCACTCCTCTGGAGTCTGGACAGGCAGAAAGTCAAGGTTGGCATGCCAAGTGGACAGCGACTTTTTCAGACCTTGAGGTCCAGCAGATTGGCATCGTACAAGGGACATGCACTTCGGTTTGGGCATCGGTGTTTTCGCACTGCAGGCACTGCGACGCAAGCAGGCCACCATTCTCTCGCAGGCAAAGGCTCAAGCCGCGTCTCTGCCCGTGCCCTGGACGGATGATCCGTGGTTATTCACACAGGAGTTGCCTGAATTAGGTCAGGGGAGCCGGGTTCAAGCCTCAACAGGCTCCAGCCGGTCCACAAGTGATTTTGGCTGCATTCCTTCGATGCCTTCTGCAGGGCCTCCCTCGGCCAACTGCTCCGAAGCAGAGCAGGCCCTTTCAAGCTCGCTCAATCTTCGCAGCTCTCTTGGCCCTCCTTGTGGCATGCAGGACCTGCCGCGGTTGCTTTCGCGTGGTTGGCCGCTCAGATAGTCTCTCAGAAGCACACTGCAGTCGCCAGAGGCGCTCTGATCATCGGCCGACTCTTGCCGGGAGTGCAAGTGGAAGTCTTCATGCACTACACTCATATTCGTCAAGTTTGGAGCACGTGTGGGGCTGTAGAGGAGTCCAATACAGTTGGATTCAGCGAAACACCACGCATCTAGCTGAAGCTGAAGGAGCTGGGTGTCTGGTTCCCGTCACATGCATTGGACCCGAAGCTGTGCAACGGGTGGAGCTGGACATGCTTCGCTCGCATGCAGCAAGCATCACAGAATACCCCCGCCCTCACTTGTTCGGAAGACGCTTCACGCAGCTATGCGCCAAACAAGCAGGACACACAGCCCAAGTCCGAACATGTTGGTATTTCGTACCTAGCTGTCGGCGTGTCTAGTGCAAATATCGGACGTGAGAATCCGGGAGATGTGCCTCACATCGACCGTGATGAACCCTCGCCAGCATTGGCAGCATCGTGCAGATCTCTCTTGTGCTGCGTCCATGCACTCGCAGAACATAGCAAAGCCATCTTTGTCGCACAAGCACAAATGCACTCTCCACGCATGAAAAGCATGCACATTCCGAAGGTGGAAGGGGGCGATCCTGATAGTGTTGCTGCAGGAGTCTCTGTGGATTCCATCGCAAAGTTGCTGAGCATATCATCGCGAACCAGCCTTCTTCTCTCATCCTAGTTCTAGTGGATGTGGGTCGACAGCCAGCATCTTGCAACACCGTGAGTTGCCGGGCGGCGTCTCATGCAACCGCAATGCAACCGTCACCATTGTTCTCTGAACATGCGAGTCACGAGTCCATACAATTGCCAGCTACTCCGCCAGCTTCTTGCAATCCTGGGACGAACAGGTCGAAAGCCATTCGAATTCGAAGCGTTGCGATGAGCCAGAACCTTTTTTCCACATTCCCAGCCGTTCAATCTCACCCTGCTATTTGTGAATTTGGCGAGCAACAGCCGCTGCCAGTGCATGAAAAATGCCTTATTCAGCGACGGTGTGCCCTTCCTGCCGGTGCTCAGGATTCGCGCATCTGCAGCTTTGTGCCAGATGCGGCGGCGGCGTGCAGCGGAGATGGACAAGGCGAGTTGTGCATCGGTGGATCGTGAACTGTAAGGGTTTCTGATTCATGTAAGGCTGCGACTGCGATATATGATGATTCATGATGATAAATGATGCTGCCGATGCTGACGGTGATAATGGAGAGGAAGCTGATGATGACGACGATGGAAAGAGCATCAGAAAGGGCTGATGATCCCTTACAGTGTCTTCTTGAGTTTGATGTCCTGGGCCTGTAACATCCATGCAGAATTACTCATGAAAGACGGCGAGAAGACGTTGGATGACGGCTTGAGTTTATCCGGCAAAGTTTCGCAGTGTGTTGCACGATCCAGACAGGCTTTTATGTATTCGTCTAAGGAAGCTTGCCCTTGCAAGCTGCACAGAAAATATCCAGGAAACATGAAGCATCTGAAAGCCCAAGCCCGGGTTCTGTCAGCTGGCCTCGGCACACTACCTGGAACGTCTGCGCCGGCGTTTGGGGCCCGGAGGCCTCGCATCCAAGCATCCGTTCCTGGTGAAGCGGGTGCAGCATGTGCAGCCACTTTGTCAAGTCTGGCCAAAGTCGTGTGGTTCTATGTCTCTAGGTTAAAAGTTGTAGGCTGCATCCGACTCGGATTCAGTGCCTTGAAAGTGAAAGTGAAAAGGTTCTATAAGTTGCATTGCCGCCAAAAAGCCCGGATCGGATGGTTCTTGCACGAGTTTTGTGCCAGCGACAGGACGAGGCAGAAGATGCCCAAGCCCTCCCAGTCCGACTGCATCTCCGGTGCCGAAACTGGCGCTGGACCTGGAGCATCTGCGTTCGAATTTGAAGTGAGCCAAAGTAGCGGATGTCCTTCTGCATAGTTAATGAACAATGGTACCTGGCTCCGACAGAAGTGTCGCTTGTAGTCCCAAAGACGCTGGTGTTCATGCGCGACTCCTTATCGTGATCATGTGGACACAAGCACTGTCGGAACGAGGCAACATTGATTACAACTATCGGTATGCAGGTGTTGTGAAGGCGCACACCTGGACCAGAGAGACCAGCTGCAGTTGGTGCCCCACATGTGCCACCCAGAAAACGTTTCCGATGCTTGTGGGTAAAAGTCGACCAGACTCTGCCTGCCTATGGCAGTCCTTGTACCGGAAGCCCTTGCCTACACTTTGAGTCGAGAGCGCAGAGGGCCGAGAAGCAGTGTAGGGCATTCTGTATCTTTCTCGTGTGCTTCCACAGTGGCCTGTTCGATCAGAAGGCTTCTCGCGGGGTCTCAGTCACTGTGTCTCTTCCCTTTCTCTGTCGCTCTCTTGCTCTCTCACAGTTCGCTCACACTCTCGCGACTGCGTCATACTGCAGGCCTCAGGCTTTCTTCAGTGTAGTAGCACGATTGGAAAGATGTTCCTTTGCTAGCACTCAAACTGCTGCAGCCTACAAACTACTAGATGGCACAGATGTTTGGATTCGAAGAAGAAGGCCCTCATGTCAGTCAGTGTGCGGAGTCAGCGAGTGAGTCAGTCAGTCCTCTCACTCCTTTTCGCTCTCTCCCTGTGTCTTGTCAGCTGGAGGCGAGTTTCGGAGCAAAGCGAACCCATGCCGCCTTGAGAACAGCAGCTGCTTGTCGCCGGTTGCCCGCCAGCTTTACAAGGGGCTCGTCCTCACCATGACGATAACAGCAAGAAAAAGACATGCTCGGTTGTACCTTCTAGCTACTAGTTCCGGAGCAATTCCGCTTTAGTTGACGTGCACATAAGCTGCCAGCATAGTCTTACTTGTAAGTGATAGGCAGCACCTTAGTTACACCTCGAGCTGCACTGCGCTGGCTCCAATAGGAGGCCGTCCTGCCTGTGATTCGTCTGCTCTCTTGCTGGTGCATCGGATGTGACAGCGGCATGCAGGTGGTCTCTCGTCTCTCCCGTGCGCTGGGAGCTGCTGGAAAGCCGCAGAATCCAGAGTTTCAGATTGTTGCGCTGAATACGATGTCTACTGCGTCTACTCTTGTCTTGCATCCCCTGCACTTATGATCTACACTGCAGGCCCGAATGCTTGCGTAGCTGCGGGTGTCACAGCCATCCTGGCTTGCTTCACCTAAGACGTGCTCATGCTCGTTCCTTGCCATGCTTCAGGGGTCATACGCATTCGGCTTGTAGCTCGTGAAGTTTGCAGTGCTCCACAGCCAGGTCAAGCTCAGTTGGATGCGCTGGAGGCACGCAGGTTAACATTGCGAAGAGAGACCGAGACAGACAGCTCAGCTGCCACCGCATACGCGTGCGAGGGGGAGGGTGTGCGCCCTCTCCTTCATGCATGGTAGAGAGAGCTGAGAGAGAGACCAGTCAGACCGCTGGGAGGGGGGTCCTCTTTGCAGAGAGAAGTCCACGAGCAACTCTGGGCCGTGTTTTCGCAGGTTATGGCTCCTGATAGCAGTAGCCGGACACTGAGCAACCCGTTAAGTGGCGCTGTGCTTTTTCCGCGGCTCGAGAGATCATACACTGGCATAGAAGCGAATTGATCGCCTTAAGGTTTCGGGTCTTGCCGTCTGCGCAGATGCTGGAAGCCATGGTCTCAGAATGGAAGCGAGAAATCCTGGATCACCAGTCTCGCAACCGAACCGGCATCTGTCCTTTAGACATTTGACATTCTGTAGTGAGGTCTACGTGGAAAGCAGCACCTTCAAAGGTGCCCTTTTGGGATGCTTTCCTTTGCATCTCAAGTCTTCAAGATGTCTGCATGGCCGCGAGAACCTTCGGCTGTTCTTGTTGTTGCTACATTTTTGAATTCATCAGCTCTGGCATGCTAGTGTTGTCAATGAGAGGGAAGCATTAAAAGATGTAAATGGCATCTGGAGTCTCGACAGTTTCTCCTGAATTGTGGCACACGTCCATATCGCGGTCACAGGACGGCATCCGATTCAGGTGACGATATCACCGCCAGACCCCAAGCCTCTGCGACACCATTGCAGATGTGTGCTAATGTCATGATTCAGTTCTTAAGCTACACTGGACGAGTCGCCACCGGACGGAACATCCTGCAAAACATGCCTCACTGCAAGCCCCCATGAAGCTTTTCAGTCAAAGCTGGAGCTGTATTGTATACGTCAGGCCTTGATGCGGAGGCTGAAGATAGAGGACCTCTTGACTCACCTTCTGAGCCCAGTCTGAGCCGGAATCCGGTGATGATTGAGATCGACCTGAAACGGTCATTGCTGCCAGGACACGACCAGACCACCCAAAGTAGAGGACCCTGTTGGGCATGTGTGGACCAGCTGCCACACTTCATGCAGTGAAAGACAGTGCTGGTCACTAGTCCTGCCTGAAGGACACCACCACAGTCACGACCACGTTGACTGGAACTTCAACCAGCACCGTGACTACTTCCATGACTTCGGTTTCGCACACAGCAACAACGGCAACAGCAACAACAACAGCGACAGCAACAACAACGACCGACACGACTTTCACAAGATCTACCACGCTGACCTTGACAACAGCTTCCACCACCGCAACTGCAACGATAACCACAACAACAGCTTCAGCCACAGCAACAGCATCATCGACCAGCACATTCACTCGATCTTCAACAGCTACGACAAGTACAATTTCCACCGAGACCACAAGTGCGACAACAACGGTCACGACCGTCACCAGATCTACAAGTACGAGACATAGCACAACAACGTCTACTACGACCACGGGAACCTCAAGGACAGGGACCCACACAGCGACCAGCACAAGTAGCAGCAGGTCACAGACGTCAACCTTCTCCAGCTCAACCTCGTTGTCCTTGACTTCCACAGAAACTTCAAAGACAAGCACGGCCTCAACAAGCACTGTGACGACTACTGTCACCTCCACGACCACAGGCACCATGTCTCAAACATCTAGCAGAAGCTACACCAGCACGCGCACGGTAGTGACACACACGACGTCCACCATGTCTTCTACGAGCACCTCCAC